CAGACACGTACCTGGGAGCTCTTGCCGCACTTGGCCTCGCCGGACACAATCACAACTTGATTCTGCAGCAGGTTCTCCATGAAGGAGTATTTCTCTTTCCAAATTGGAAGCTCTTCTCTTTCTTTCAGGAGCTTATAGTACCGGGACGAATACGGCAATCCATCGAAAGGGTTCAGTTCCAGATCATCGCAGGCCAGAACCCCCTCCTCGTCGCCATCGCTGGACTCCAGGGATTCGGGGAAGTAGCGTTTCTCGGAGGCTGGGTTGAGACATTCCAGCTCCTCTTCTTCCATCTTGTCCGAGCGCGGGCGGAAGGAAGTCTCCTGTCAGTAGCCCATTGCCAGAGGATTAAAGTCTGCAAAGGTCTGCAAACCCGAGGTCCCAGTCTCCAGGTCAAGGGCTCGGGTCGCTGAACTCCTCAGATCTTCATCCGTCCCTCCTGGCTGTCACCTCCGGTGCTGGCTGCCTCCAGAACTCCTCGGCATGTTCAAGGACTGTCCACGGACGGCCCTGGAGAACAAACACAGAATGAGGCTCGCTCACATGCTTGGAACAGCTAAGAAAACGCCGCCAGCAAGGCTGCTCGAGCGTTGGCTCCACAGCTCAGCCACCATCCCTGGGCTTTCCAAGGCTGCAAATCCTCACGGAGACCGCCCAGTCCTGAGAAGCCGCTGACGGACTCAAACTGCTGCAGATCCTCTGAGACATCACACACTACGCCATGAGGCTCCTTTAGAAGAAAACGCACGAGCATTGGAAGAGAAAGCACTTCACATTACTGCTCAGTTCTAGTCTGCTATTTCGTCTACTGCTTAAAACCCAAGCCTGCTTGCTATGGTGTGGATGCCACTAAGGGGCCGAGCCGGAGCGTCCCGTCTGGAGCTCAAGGCTGTCCGGCACTACGGAAGCAGGCTGCCCCAGCTCTCCCTGCAAACGGACTGGTGGCCTCAAACCCCAACCGTCCGATTGCTAGCCACACTCCTCACCACTGCGCCACCAGGCCTCCTCACCCAGGTAAGTAACAGGTGCGTTCAGGCCAGTTGGCTGCACTGGAGCTTGGCAGGCCTGGAACCTGGTACTCTGAGCTGACCTTTCACCCTGCCTGTGTTTGACTGACTGGACAGAAAGCCTTGGTGCACGCAGCGCAGTGACAATGGGGCCTCGCCTGATGCCACCATAGGAGACAGGGGACTCTCTGAAGTGCAGCCTGAGAAGGCCCGGGACACACCCCTCACACCGCCCACAGCAGTCTGGCATCTTCACCACTCAAAATCCTTCCAGTTTACAGTAACACAGTTAAATGCTTTTCATTTTAGAAATTCGAACAAATATCTCACCCATGAGACATTCAAATGGCCACCAACATATGAAAGTGTTCACAATCACTACCTATCAGACATAAGCAAAGCAAAACCAAATGAGTTAGCATTTCACTTCCAACAGGATAGGCGCGATTAACAAAGAAATAAAAAAGAACAAACACTGGCATGGTCTTGAGAAGATGGTTAGAATCTCAAATGACTGGGTCATTCAAAGATTCTCAATATTATTTTGATGACTTATCATATCCCCCAGCTCAAAGGCTTAGTAAAAGCAAAGTCAATAAAGTAAGCACAAATGTTTAAGCAATGTGCCACCAGAAGAAGCAATCCCATCACGCTGAAGTGTGGCCGGGGTGCTCCTAAGAAGCCAGACGGGGAGACTTGTTTTCTATGAGCATGTTGTCGGGGGGGGGGGGAGGGGTCCAGGCTGTGCAGAAGGCGGTCACTGGGAGAGGTGCAGGCCCTGTGCAGACATGAATGACACGGTCACTGCAGCAATGGGCACGGCAAGATGGGGAGGGTGTGACAGGACCGGCCAGCGTTTGCTCTGTTGTACACGGGGTGCGAGGAGTTGGACCTGAGCAGCTGGCACCTCACAGCAACCTTAAACAGCTGTGCAAACGTGTAAAATGAGATAAAGATGAAATCTAAAAATTGTAATAGGCTACTGATGTTGCGTCCCGTCGATTCAAACCGACCCACAGCTGCCCCTCCAACGAGTTCCATCCTTCTCTTTTAGGACATTGATAAGAGTCACCACAATGAACGCACGAAATTATTTTGTGCCTGAGAACAGTGTTTCGGGGAATGCGGGACTGTGAACATCAGGAGGTGTTTCGTTAATCTTTCCAGACTGTCAGTATCTTTTTCTGACTACTCCTTTCTCTCCCCCTGGGTTCCTGACCTGCCTTCCCACCAACACACAACACTGGTGGTATTCCCTAGTCCTAGCTTTGACCTCTTTCCACAGAACCTCCCCATGGAAGGCTAGCCACATTTTAACATTAATTACGAAATGCTTCATCCAAATTCCCGTCTTGGCCTCTGATTTCTTTCCTCGGTTCCGGACCCAGCGGTCTACCAGCACTTCTCAGGTATGTCGTCTGAGATGTTGCCACTCAACACTGAACTCCTTATCCATCCATGTCCCACTCACCTTAAAAAACGGAAGAGGCTCTCTTCCTCTCTCCCTCCCTTCCCTATGGTCTAGATTTCAACAACTGCAGGGTTCACCTTATCACTGAGATCAGAAGGCTGAGCTGTGGAGGTGGGTCTCTACCCAGAGCCCTGGGTTCCTGCCTTCACTATCTCACCATTTCTCCCTCTATCGATGCAACAATCTCTCTCGTTTCGTTTCGTTTCCTTTTGTTTGCCTCTAATTTTGGCCCCACACCAATCTGTCCTTCCAATGTTGTCAGGGATCCTTTACAAATGCAAAGCTCATGTTCCCGACCCAGATCCCTATCACCATCTTTCAAATAAAGACCAGGCCTTTCCTTCTCCAGAATTAGCACTTCTGCCTCTTCAGCCTGGCTTCTTCTTGCCCAGTTCCCAGTCCCCTCTTCTGCTCCTGCGTGCCACTGATGAGTCAATAAGGACCCTGGGCCCACTCAGGAAATGTTTGCCGTCACAGAGATTAGTAACAACCCCTTACAGTGGAAAAGGTCTCTACAATAAAAGGCTGCAATGAAACAGACCCATAATCGCATTGAAAAGGGTTCTTAAAACTAGCGTATTACTCAACCATTTGCTTCTCCCCAGGTATCCATCTCCATGAGGAATCAGGACCTCCTGGCTGCCCAGAAGGCTGGGAAGTTACATGTCAGCGACAGCATCCCCGCGAGAGCCTTGTCCTCCCTCCACTGTGACCCTATTTAGATCAGATAATGAAGACCCACTTTGTGTTAAAAGGGAACACAGAAGAAACACATATAAAAGCTCTAACTCCTGAAATGGTTCATCTGAGTCACAAGAACTATAAGGCAGGCCTCAGAAATAACGCAAACTGGGTTCCGCACCACAGCAATAAAGGAGTGTGAAATCCAGCTAGTACGGAAACACACTGAAGCTCAGGAGGGTTTTGGTCCCCTTATAAGTTATGTTTACATTCTGCTAGACTCTATTAACAGGGAGCTCAGTGGCTCAGTGGCTCAGAGTTGTGCTGCCAACTTTAAGGCACCTGGTTCGAATCTGCAGGTTGCTCTCCCAGAGAGCGATGGACCATCTCCTCCTGTGAGATTTACAGCCTCTGAAAACCCACCGGGAGGGTCAGCAATGAGTTCGCTCCAACTTGATGGTAAATAACAAGACCAACATAATCTCGCAACAGTGAATAGCACCATCAGACAGTTTGGAACAGGACATGAACTGATAACGTGAGACACAGAGGCACAAAGTGAGCACATGCTACTGGAAAAATGGAAACGACAGACCTGCTTAAGAGAGGACTGCCCCAAACCTACGACTGGAAAAACAACCCCAAACTGATCCCTGGGAAGTGCAATAAAGAGTTCAATCAAATGAGGTTACACCAGAACATGCCAAACAAGGGGAAACGCCTTCAAGGAAGTGTATTTATTCTGCAGGGCGAAGTGCAGAGCCGTTCCCCACCCTTCTTCCACCTGTGTGTGTGGGTGCAGGGAGTGAGGACCAGCCTAATCCTGGGGCTCTGCTGCCCAGCGCTGTAGATGACACTGTGAATGAGGAAAGGGGCCGAGAGCGCGGCCTTCCTCTGCGGCCAGCTGGACAGATGAGAAGCACACACACATATACCGTACGTTCGTTGCTATATTCTGAGAAAGGCTGTATCCTGAGTCAGGAAAGGAGAGGAAGATTTCCAACAAGACGGACTGAAACTGTAATAATGGGCTCAAGTACAGCGGAGATCCTGAGGACTGCTCAGGACAGGGCCAAGTGCCCATCAGTTGTTCAGAGAGTATTTGACTCAACAGCATCTAAGAACAACCACTGTGGACTCATAAAGTTTCAGAAAGTATCAAAATGCAAAATTGAAACATCAGGTACACTCAGCACCCCTACAGAACAGCAAAACTGCTCCATGGGGCAAAGCTGTTAATCTAAACTACAAACTGGCTCAATTTTTCTCCTGGGCAATGGGTTCCATCCACTCTGTCAGGAAAATAATGCTTAACCCACTGTGCCACCAGAGATTCTTCAGAAAGACAATGGGGTGTGGAGGGGAAAATTATTCTTGCTCTGGGAAAAATAATTTCCCAACTTTTAAAAGTTAAAGGAGTAGGAGATAAAACAATGTTACATGCTCCTGGAGTTAATTCTCCTTTGAACTGTGATGTGTTCAAGTGTCTGGAATAAGAAGCAAGCCCTCACTCATCTCACCACTGCTGATTGGTAATTTCCTGGTGATAATGCTGGTTTGCTAAATGTATTTAAGCATCAGTAAAAGTAAACAACAATGTAACTATTCAATCCAGGAAGAGACTGGAAATTTAACAACAGCAGCAAAAGAGAAAAATCAAGATTTTGTTTCTCACTGTATCAGCAACAACACACTGATAATGTCAGTGAAAAAGAGACAAATGACACCAATTTAGGAAATCTAAAACAGGCTACCTTCACCACTCATCTGCAACTCCAATCCTATTTGCAAGCTTCCGAGCTGAGAATATTTTCATTAATAATAAAGCATATCTCTCCATCAAAAACAATTTCTCTCTAGTTCTTCTTGGTCATTCACAAGCATTTAGCCAGTATAGTGCCAGATGCTGGAGGAAAAAGAAATGACTCACCATCGCTGCCATGGGCAGTTTCAGGGCCTTCACCTCCCCACTGCCACCCACCAGCCAACCATACACCTCCATCAAATGATTCTTTATCCTGGGGCAGTGCATTTCACGTTGGATTGCAAACCACAAGGACAGTGGTTCAGATCCATCAACTGCTCTGAGGGAGGAGTATGAGGCAGTCTCCTCTCATAAAGATTTAGAGTTCTG